ATAAAAAGAAGAGAAAAAAAAACGCTCATGATTCTGAGCAGCAGAAACCTTGTTGAAAATTGCCAATGATGAGTTTCTCCATATCAATAACTCTATATGGCTTTGCTAAGAAACTTTGCATGCCCGCTTCCTTCGCCCTCATTGAACAATCGTCTGTAATATCGGCCGTAACCGCGACAATAGTCGCAGTCTCTCCATGAGCTTCCGCCAATTTGGTGATTTCTTTTGTAGCTTCGTAGCCATCCATGTTCGGCATCCATATATCCATTAATATGATATCATATCGACCAGATGGCTTTGACAACGAGGCTTGGTAAGAACGAACGGCATCTGCTCCATCAAATGCAAGCGTAATGTTATCTTCGGTATAGCCGAGTCTGCTGAGAGCTGTAAAGGCGAATTTTCGATTAATTACGTTGTCTTCTGCAACGAGGAAGTTTAGAGGATAATCTTTGGCAAGATTGGCGTTGGGAGTTACTCGTCGGCGTGCAGTCTTCGCTGAAGCTGCTGCGTAAGGCGATATAACAGCATCCCGAGTAATTCGAGGATGACTAGGTGACGAGCCCACGAGTGGAGTCACAGCCCTTTTCATATCCAGTGCTGAGATTGGGAGACGTATCAGGAATTCCGATCCTTTCAACGGACCTTCTGTTGCAGATCTTTCCAGTGTAACATCACCACCAAGATTCTTCCTCACACGAGCTTTCGCGTTGAATAGGCTAAGTCCTAGACCATCTTTCGCACGACTGATTGATGCATTTTGTTGGAAATGAGGTTGAAATAAACGAGATCTTGATTCCTCGGTGATACCGCATCCTGTATCAACCACCCATATCTCAATCATATGCCCAGTGTTGTTGAGTTTGACCGTTATTGTAATACTACCCCCATCAGTAAATTTGATTGCATTGTCGATAATTTTCGAGATTGAGAATTGCAAATGCTGCTCTTCAGTAAGAATAGCCTCGGGAACATCGGGCTGGATCACCAGTTCGATCGAGCATTCTTGCACTTCGCCTCTTGACCCTTGTGTTTTCAGCTCAATTATCTCGCCAAACTCCGTCGTGGTATGGTGCTCGCTAGTTGGATAATCGGTCTTGAGGGAATCACCAATAAGGTTTCGCATGAATTCGCGGGTAATAACTCGTTGATGACCTGGAGTCATGGAAGCTGGAGATGTAAGTGGGCTAGGGTTTGAATCGAAAGGAAACTCGGTTGACTTCATCTCTATATCTGAAGTTGTGGTGGTTGTGGATCGAATAGGCATCTCGGGGCTAGAGCATGCCGTGGAAACTATGGCGGAATCGACATCGAGTAAATGCTGTGATATTTCACCCTCTGGCAAAGTGAACATACGCTTTGGAGGAGATCCTAAATTGAGCTCGAGGTCTTCGGATCGATTTCTCTTCTTTAGATTTGGAGATGAAAATGCTTCTCGTAATTGTCCATCGGTTGGCGGAGAATAATTTTGCATTGGTGCAAAAGATTTTGTTCCGTCATCTTCAGGCGTCAAGGGAACATCAGGCATCTGCATATTGAGATCGTATGCGTGGACGACATTATCGGCTGCTTCTATCGCCCTTCTAGAGCTTTCTGTGTAAGATGAGTATCAGATAAAGTAACCTTAAAGATGGGGTTCATTTACCTTGCACGATCTCAATATTGGCCTTGAGATCAGCAAAAACAGCTCGAGCCCGCTCATTCTGTTGATTTGCGATAGCATCAAGTACGGTTGAGTACATGATATCAAGCATTCCAACAACTCCTTGCATTGGCGTCCTTAACTCGTGCGACAGGCTGCGAGCATACGGTTTTAGTGACTGCGAAGCGGTGATAGCAGAAAGAGGTATGATCTGTTCTGCAGCGCACTCCGGAAGGTTACCATCTTTAGCAAAGCCTCGGCCCTCTACTATACGTTGGAGAATTAAGTCTTCAAGAGAATGCATGAACATTTCTATGAAGCTCCAACTGAGCTTCCTTTTTTTTGCACCGTCCTCAGACCATATCAATGCAAAGTGTGCAAAAGATTTGTCTTCCATAGTTAATGGTACACCAATGAAGGCCTCCGATTGGCCCCATGGCATGATGTTTGGATTGTTGGGTGTTACTTCTTTCATTCTCTCGGGTACGATGACCACTTTATCGTACTTCATATAAGCGCAAGGTGTACCAAAGGCTGTATACTTATAGTCTCTTTCAAGGTTAGGTTCCTCATCCCCATTTTTTGTGTAGAAAGCAACACCCATTAAACATGAGCCTTCTTCCCCAAGTTCCGGGAGTTCGACAGCGGTATCCTGATCATCCACCAACATTCGTTTAGCAACCAATCCGCATTGAGCTCCTGTTATATCGCACATTTCCTCCATCAGTACTCTCCAGAAGTCATAGGTGTCAGCCTTACGAAGCTGAGACTTCAATTTTACCAGGCGTTCCGAAGCGTTACTCTCCGCCGCAGGGAAGTATCGACTCAATATATCTGTAAAGCCTTCATCTCCACTATGCAGTATAGAATCCTCGGAGAAATTTGGCAAGCACAATGTTTGTCTGTCAATAAGATCGTGCGGTGCTTGTGTCCTCGATTCCATTACACCCGTCATTTCCTCCTCCGTCCTCTTAAGGAACCGATCTTTTACCTGGGGCCTGGTAGGAAATCGTCTAACCCTTTGACGTTGAGGTCTGTATATTCTCGAAGCGTATGGCTTTCCTTCAGAACGCTCACGACGAAAACGTGGTTCTGGCATTCCACTATGTTGTTCAGGTGTGGGTATGAGTGCATCAAGCATTTAGTCAGGACACTCGCGAGTTGCCTGCCTTAGCCAGATGGTCGAACCGAAACGTCGTTGTCGGCAATACACAATGGACTTGATAAGAGCTATGCTTTCGAAAGAGCACAAAGTTGCCAAAGTACTCGTATGAGATTGGCACCTCATCCAACAGTGGGGCTTTCTCTATTGATCGACGAGAAAATAATGGATGAGCAAGTGACAAGTTAATTGACGGTATGGAAACCCCGGTAATTAGAAGTATGGATTTATGCGCGAACTGATTCTAGACTCCTGCTCGATGACAGAAGGTTAGAAATATTCTAACTAGAATTCTGATGATGGATGAGGGGGAGAGCTGGTGATTGGGACGAGCGAGCGAATAGAGGCTAGAGAGTCTGGATGCAAAAAGTTTAAACAAACATTGAAACTTGTAAATGGACTGGATGAGTCTAGGTCGGGTTACTGGCAGTTACCGCACTGGGGCCTGTCGTAGTGGTCACTGTTGATCAAAGAGCATCGAATTGATTTCCAGAGCATATAACTTCGACATCAAAATAACCTTTGGCGGGGAGTTTGAGTTGGGTTGAGGGCAGACATACGATGGATATTCTTTCCGTGATATGTAAGGTAAATACTGTATAAATCTAAATGATATACTCCGGAAATCAACAATGATTAGAATTGAAAAGAAAATAGGAATAAATTTACAAGGCTCAGACTTCAGAGTAGTGAAATCTAGAGTGAAAGTAGTAAGAGTAGTGAGTGAGCCGAGAAACAGTGTGAATAGTGTAAATAGTAAGTAATAGGTCGTGAGGATAGTGAAAACTCAGGGTAGTGCGGGTAGCAAGTGATTAAGATGAAGTTCTGGGAGCTGTGCGTGGAGAATCGAGATACGCTTCTTGGTCTAGAGATTCTTTGGGAAAGATCTAGCCAGGTCTAATTCGAAATTTTGTGGAGCGACGTGGAGCGGGTAGTCACTGGATAAGCAAGCCTGGCGAAGATCTTTCTTTACTCCTTGCGTAAGGACTATGATGACTAATTGATGCTCAAAATCGAAATGTTCTCCATAGTACCTAGTTTGATTCTTGAGTGTTTGATATTCCCAAAATACTGACCGGTGCCGATATCCGTACACTCCGTACACTGTAGAGTGAGCAGCAAGTATCAAGTAAGTATTAGTGTGAGAATCCATATCGAGAGCAGTAGCTCCGATGTCAACGGTCGTAGCTCAGGTACATTGAACAGTATCTAGATTGTCGGGATCGGTAGTATGAGATCAACTTTTGTTCTCCGCGATTAGCTTTACGATAAAAATATAAAGCTTCCTTTTTTCCCCAATAGGCTGCTCTGTACGACACATGCGGAGTATGAATATCCGATATTCGACCCTTCTCTGTTTGATCAACTCGCTGCGTCTCACTCTTGAGTCTTGTCAAAAAGTGTCATCATTCCCTACTCATGCATGAACGTATACTGGTTCGTCACCTTACTCCCATTGTTCAATGCCTATTCACACAATGCTCTCTTCAGTACGAAGTACACCATGTCGGATTCAGTGTGAAACGAAAGACTTTGCAGTTTTTAACCGCGGATTACAATAAGATCAACAACGGTCCATCCCAACTAATGATTTTCAGCTCCAAATATGAAGTTGGAGGATTTAAAATCCTGTTTTGATTGGCCAATTATTTTATCAAAGTGCCGCGAGTAGTTTGTTTGCATCATGTTAATCCATTACCCAGTACATCATGGTAAGACATCTAGAACGATCTTTTTTGGAATTAGCCCTTAACGCAAAGAGTTATGATTTGCTAGGTTACACCATCATCGGTGCACCCAGCAAATAAATTCTCCACCATATTTTGATGCTTTCTCCTGTTCTAGATTGAAGGCTTCACGTACTGAATTCTCCGAAGCAAGAATATACTGATTGCTCAAAGAAATCGAATGGATTGACTACTCTACTCGTACACTAATATGTATGAGCTCATATCTAGTATTGGGGAAAAAAACTAATCGTTACTCAAGAAAAAAACCATTCTGATTTTATAACGAAAGATTTTCGAAAATACGAGAGCGTCACAAAATGAAGGGGTACAGCCGAACGGAGTAGGCTCCTAAAGAAACTCATAGTCTCCTTGCCACTTTTACGAACCTTGAAGACGTTATCTTTCTGCCAACCACTCCATGAGCTTCACTATATTCCTCAATCTGTCTAAGTAGATGTTGTTCACGATGTGTTACGTCAATGAGGGTATCACTCATATATTTTCATATATTTTCTTCAGTATCTTGGCATATTCATAAGGTTCTCCGGTTTCCATTTTAGACATTTTTCATTCATTCCCATTGAAGAGACGTGCAGAAAATGCTTAGTACAATCAAAGATAATATTGCATCAATCTTCAGACAACATTCCTACGTTGTCAGCAAGTGTCAGCACTGTAGCAGTAACACTAGGCGCCAAAACGCCTCTTCCATTATGTATATTTCTTACAATTAGGGATCCAGAATTCGATTGTTACACCGGTAGTAATGTACGTACACATCTCAAAAATCAAACCTCTTCTAGCACAATGGTAGTGAAATGTTGGGATGTTAATTCAGCACTATTTGAATGCCTAATGAAAAGCTCGGCATGAGGGATTCCGAGGAAGTCGTGGCTGGGACTTGTCAGTAGCTTACGGATATCAAGTTCAAATCAAATCGTTGACCTGCGACGAGGATACCAACAATGTTGTACTATATGTTACAATACGTGAAGTTTCTCCCTTTTCGTCTCAACATACTCGTGTTGTGGAATCAATGTTGCTTTCTTTCCGAGCCTCGATACCACTGACATGGAGAGTTGAATCCTTGCTCGTACATATACAACATCAGCCACCGTTTGGATTGGGCAAGCAGGGACGTTTATTTCATTTTCCCCAATATGCACCCCCCACGAATTGTTTCAAAGCACAAGCCCACAACGATCTCCGAAGGAAATTGACGATCTTGCAGCTCCGTTTAAAAGAGTGGGCGACGGCATTACAGCAGGGCTAGTTTAACTGCCTTGGGAACACTTTGCTTCGTTTGATATTGATGGTGGAAGAGTGAGGAGTTGGACATGGAGGGCGCGGTACAGAAAAGGTAGCATAGCTATTGGCAAAGCAAAAAGTTTAACTTGCTTGGCTCACAAGGTGGCTTGAAGAGCTTATTGTCAATGGATCGGTATTAACTTCAGCCCGACCACAAGACTCGGTGAATTCCAAACTCTCGGGCATCACAGCTCGTACAAATTGCGAAGAATCCAGCTTTGAGTACTACACTCATGCACGTGGATACAAATTCTATAACATGTCCGTGAGCCATGTAACTCAACTTTCAAATCTTTCAGGTAGTGTAGGTAAGTTGTAGCGAAGGCGAGTTTTAGGTTTTATAACATATAGCACTGCTAGTACCACGGCCTCAAGCCTGGATTTATTTCCAGAAGCACCCAGCTCGATCCTCTTATCAGTTACCATTCCTTAATCCATTCTTGAAAAAGTGTTGGGCAAACAGCTCTGGCAAGGAGTACCGGTACTTTTGAAAGTGTCGAAAAAACAATGAAACGGTCAAGTGGAATTTCCAACCATGCATCACGTGATCATCATATAGAAATGATTACATAAGCACACGGTTTCTTGGATGTGAGTGAAGCAACCCTGGAAATTTTAATTAATGGGCAGTTGCTGCTGAGCACAAGCCAAAGCTTCATGAAGATCTCCGAGAGAGTCGTTCCTGGTGTATCTTACATCCAAACAGCAATGATTTCATGATATCGCCAGATATCAAAATGCTACTCAGTATTAGTACTTGAATCAATTTCATTCATCAGTTTTCAATTATGTCTATTCGCGTTCTTCTCCGCGAACATCCCCATCGCTCAATTGCTCTTGTGACGCCTACACACACTCTTATCTTCCGCCATAGTCCTTCTACGAATGAATCTTTAAGCAATGGATTGCTCAATCCCATTTATCCAGTACATCCGCGTGCATCTGCCGACGGAGTTACAGCTCCCAAGTGCATGGTAGAGTTCGCAGATGTCTCTTCAGTTGATCTCAGCGATTACCGGACGTTAAGTCTTATGCCAGTCCATGGTACACTTGGGTTAATTACCGTCAGCAATGATATATTCCTTTGCGTAATAACAGCCAGAACCGTAGTGGCACAGGTGAGGCCTAGAGAAACTGTTGAAAAGATAATAGGGGTAGAATTTCATTGCTTGAACAATGCGGAGTACGACAATACTTTTATGGACGATTTGGATCCCTATAGCTACAACGCTGAAAATACATATGGCCAGAATCTGAGCCGGCGGGATCCAATCGTGGAGCACCCTTGTGCTGAGCTGCAGAGGCTATTGGCAGATGGAACCTTCTACTATAGCACAAATTTTGACCTTACAAATCGATTGCAAGACCGGTAAGCAAAGTTAACATGCCCACGATGCCAAACTCTTATACATTGCAGATCTACAGATGCCACAGCAAACGATGTTGAGAGCTTCGACGACTCTTTTCTATGGAATTCATATATGATTGGCTCCTTGGGAAAATTCCGATCTCGCCTTGTGGCACATGAAAGAGACGCCTTGGACAAGTCTGGTATTCTTACATCTGCAATTCGTGGCCATGTTCAAACGAATACTATACCTCCCGCTTCCGATCCTTTACGAACCTCAAGATCAGGCCTCCCATCATCTCTTACATTAATATCTCGATTATCTTGTAAACGAGCTGGCACAAGGTTTAATGCTCGAGGAATTGATGATGATGGAAATGTCGCAAACTTCGTCGAATCAGAAACAGTTTACTGGAGTCCCTCTGCCAATGTGCAGTATTCATCAGAGCAAGCAGACGAAAAACCAGCTGGCATATGCTTTTCATATGCCCAAATAAGAGGAAGTGCCCCGATATTTTTCGAGCAGGCACCTGGTTTACTTCCAGGCCAACAAAAGGTTACCGTAACTAGATCTCCTCAGGGTACTCAGCCAGCTTTTGACAAACACTTTGAGGAATTGGAGCGTAACTACGGCGCAGTTCATGTGGTCAATTTGCTCAGTGAAACCAAACCAGCTGAGGCTGAAATTACTGCGTGTTATCAATATGGAATTAGTCATTCGTCATTGAATAAAACAGAAGAGAAGAATGCCAAAGATCATCAATTATTGAGGGTCACAGAATATGATTTTCACGCCGAGACGAAGGGACCTCAAGGTTACCAGGCAGCTAGTATGATTCGGAGTATAATCGAGAATTCAGCAGATGGCTTTGCATATTATCTGTCTGAAGAAATTGATGACACGGAAGATGTTCCTGAGAACCAATACCGAAGAACGGTGGTCGTATTACAACAAGAAGGCGTATTTAGAACCAATTGCCTCGATTGCTTGGACAGAACAAATCTTATTCAAACTATCATATCTCAAATGGCAGTGGAGTCATTTCTCCTGCATAGGGGGGCTAGAGGCACTTCCGAATTTTGGATGCGTCACTCAACAATGTGGGCTGATAATGGCGATGCTCTTTCACGAATATATGCAGGTACAGGAGCTCTTAAATCATCGTATACAAGATTCAATAAGCAGACTCTCTCTGGTGTATTTGCCGATGCACGAAAGAGTGCTACCCGATTATATATGAACAATTTCGTGGACAAGGGACGGCAAAACACTATTGATGTGCTCTTGGGCAGACTTGTGGGACAAATGCCTGTGCATTTGTTCGATCCTATTAATGACTATGTGACGGCTGAGCTAAACAAACGTAGCTCGGAGTTCCAATCTTCTGAGGTGATAAACATGTAAGTCTACTATCCTTCCAGTCATCGCACAACATACTAACTTCACGTTTTAGATGGGCTGGAAGTTTCAATCTTAATGGGCGCACATCTGGTATAGAAGAAGACTTGGCTTTATGGTTATGTCCTGAGCTTGAAAAATCACAGCAGCATCCTGAAATAGTAGTGGTCGGCTTCCAAGAAATAGTGGAATTGAGCCCTCAGCAAATTATGAACAGTGATCCAACAATAAAACAAGCATGGGAAAAGGCCGTGCGAAAGACTCTAAACAGGCATGCTCGTGCAGCTGGTCAAGATCACTACGTGCTACTACGAAGTGGTCAGCTTGTAGGAGCTGCTCTATGTGTGTTCGTTAAAGCTTCAGTTTTACCAAACATTAAGAACGTTGAAGGCAGCGTCAAAAAGACTGGGATGTCTGGGATGGCTGGCAACAAAGGTGCTGTTTCAATCCGCATGGATTATGCAAATACTCAGATTTGCTTTGTGACTGCACATCTAGCTGCTGGGTTTAGTAATTATGCAGACCGTAATAAGGATTATCATACCATCCATAAAGGATTGAGGTTTCAAAGAAACCGGGGCATAGATGATCATGGCAAGTTGATCTAAATGATTGGAAGAATTGTCCACTAACGCTATTACAGATACGGTTATTTGGATGGGTGACTTCAATTATCGGATAGGACTTGGACCTGAGCGGGTGAGTAAACTTCTCTACAAGCTCGACATTGATTCTGACATGCTTTCAGGTCAAGCAACTCATAAAAATGGGCGACTTGGAGACTTTATACGAGAATGATCAGGTGAGTTCCGCCGCTCAGAACGAACTAGGATGCCCGTTAATAGCAACATAGTTAAATCTCCAAATGGTAGCTGGGCTAACATTTCAATACTATTCCGAATCCAGGATCACTTTTATGCCAACATATAAATTTGACATCGGTACCGATACATACGATACTAGTGAAAAGGCCAGAATTCCGGCATGGACTGATCGAATCCTACGGAAAGGTAGCAATTTACGTCAAATCAATTACAACACCGCGCCCCTACGTTTCTCCGACCACAGACCTGTATATGCAAATTTTCAGTGCACTGTGAGTGTCATCGACGACGCTATTCGTGATTCTCTCAGTAGAAGCATTTACGATAGGAGGAGAGAGGAGATTGGCGGCGCAACAGCTAGTTCAAAATTGGATGGAACTGACGATGAGGACTTGATTGGATTCGAGAGCCTAGAGCCTGGTTTACCACCTGCAAGCTCGAGCGAGAGGAAATGGTGGCTTGACGGGGGGAAGCTTGCGAAGAGCCAAGTTCAACCGCCGAGTAATTCAAAGGACGTGGTACCAAATCCAAGGAGACTGAGCAATCCGTGGAGTGTGAGCGATGAACCTGACTGGGTCAAGGTTTCAAGACCTGGCATGTCTTCACGGAATAGTTCGCAGAGAATGTCTCTTCCACCGGCACCTGTGGGAAGGAATGGCACTGTACCACGAAAGCTTCCACCTCCTTTTGATTCTTCTTCTCTCCCTAGTTCCCAAAGCAGACTTGGAAATCCAATAAAGGGTAATTCCTCAACTCCAGCCCTGTCTACAAAGGCAGTACTTCCTCCACCACAGCTAATAGCGAGCAACTTTTCGACTCCGACCCCGACCACAACAGCAAAACCAGTCCTTCCCCCACCTCAACTTACACGCCGCGCATCGACTGAAACAACACGCTCCTCGTACAAGAAAGCACCACCTCCTCCAAGAAAACCTGTACATTTAGCATCTACTTCCGTTTCACCTACTCTCTCAACTTCTTCGTTGGCTTCAAGATCGAAAGATCCGCCACCTGTGCCTGGTGCATATAGAGATTTCTCGCCGCCTACTCGGAGAGCTACTTCTGGTATAGACAAAAGCAATTTGGAACCACCCCCGCCACCACAACCTCGAAGACCCGGAAGAAAGATGGACGATGAAGGTGCAAAGCCGGAGTTGCCGAAAAGACCGCTTGACTTGTTGGGCGATAACGATGATATTGGGGGATGGCAGGCCTTGGAGCCTACTAAATGATTGATGCGTACTGCAGTTAGAACTGGGCGTTGATAGAAAATTAATGGAAAGCATGGTAGATTAAAATGGGCTATAGGTAATGCATTTGATGGAATTAGAGCCATAAGCGGTGTTAGGTTTAGCGAAAATACATTACTTTTCAGCGTTATGGGCGAGAAACTCATTAATTCCCCCCCTGAATCCGATTGCGACTGATTGCGCCGACATTTTTATCTCCTCCCATAGTTGGGACTTTGACAATCACCCATTCCCATTCGTGGGCATCACTATTCAAATGGCATACACATGCCAGTCAGTTCCCGTGATTTACATGTTTTTGGTAGTGGCAATCAATGAGCCGGAAATTTTCTACCGTCTTTCCTAATACGGTTTCAAAGTTTAAACAATGAAGAAACATAATCACATCGCTACCATGCTAAATTTCAAATCCTATTCAAGATCCTTCGGGGGTACCGTGTTATGAGGATCGTATGTGGGGCAATGGTTGAGGTTGGTCTTGCTCAGCCTTATAATGGTACCTATGTTAGTGCCCAGGTGGGTCTGTGATTCTTGTTAGTTGTAGAGGTAATCTGCTGAGGCTCTTCGTCAAGTGTATTCACTGTTTGTTTGTTGCGTGATTTTGAGTACTGGCTTTCTTGATGGCATGATTCTTCAGCGTGCTCTCTTGGCTAGTGTGTGTGGAAGGATGGTTAAGAGGATCTAAGTTTATAAAGTTTCTGGAAACTATTTTATTCTTTGACGACGGGATATCAGGATACTACCACGGCATAACGATACTGGACTTGATAGTTGAAGCCAAACTATCTGGAGTCAATAGGTCATAAGTATGGCTTCCTCTTTTGATGAAATGGTTATGTCAGACTTTGGTCATTTACCTTCCCCTGCAGCAATGGCAGATAATGGTGATTTATCTCCTTCTCCGACAAATCCTTTCCAAATCTCTCTCTCCACCACTTCTGTATCTACATCTCTTCACGAGCTTGCGAAAGATTTCAGCACTTTGGCGGCGAGGTTTCTTTTAGTCAATTTACCGGACCGTGAGCCAGACCAATTCTTGGATTTGTTTGAAAAATTGGGTTTTATGACTACAGTGATAACCCTTTTGGAATCAGAAGAAATAACATTCAAAAAGGAAGTCTGGGAGCCATTGGTTGGAGAATTCAAGGCTTTGCTAAGTTGCGGCAAGAATGTGGTGGCACTGGTCAAAATTATGGAAGATGGTCAGACTCCCAACGTGTCTAGGAATGATCAGATAGAAGAATTTTCTGGGAAACTGGATGGCATGTGCGACTTATGCTTGGAGCTCATCAAAGGGGTACGATGTTTGAAAGCTTTTGGGTATGTCAATTTTCACTTTCATATTTGCATATTCTGGAACTAACCTCCTGTGGACCTGGAAACAAGACTTGTAGAGAAAATTATCCATTTCACCCAAGACTGTCTGATTTGAATATCTCACCAGGTCTAGTCGGTGAGTTGGAAAAGACATATGAACGTCTTGATCCGATTGGTTATCAACGATATCTTGCCCTGATTGTTGTTCCAGGAAAAGAGCTTGAAACACCAGCGAAGAAATGCGATGAGAAACTCGTCGACAGAATGGGGGAGACTAATGATAAGCTTATCGCTCTTCATCATCTTCATTTCAAAGCACCACTTCAATACACACCTTCCCTTGCCTCCGAAAAAACTGCAGTAAATGATAAAACTTCAACCAACCCGGAAAAGAATACGGGAAACAAAATTCACTACGAGACATGGACTCTCCACCATGTACCTGCCCATAAAAAGCAACATTGGGGGATGTGGACTTGGTGCGATCTTAAGGTATGGCCAATCAGACCAAAATACATTTTGGAGGAATGGTCATCGTCATCTACTATGTTACATCCTGCCGAAATCTCAAGAATCAGACAGAGATTTCAAGATGCAGCAAGGAGAAAAATGTATGGATGTGGCATGAGGATGGAAATTAAAACAGAAGATGTGGAGAGACAAATACGAGAGGATTATCTGAGGGATATTGTCAATAGACTAGGAGAGAAAGCGGAGAAAACACTTGTGCATCTTTGTGGAGGTGGCCATGATGTTTTCTATACTGATGATATCATGCGAAGATACACTCTCGAAGCGATTGAGGCAAGAGAGCCAAGTGGAATTTTTGATGGACCGAGAATTATGGGTTTAGAGGAGAGTTTGAAGATGAAGAGGGACATGGAATTTGGTAGGAGAAAGTGGTGGAAAAAGGTGAGAGATTTCAAAGGGAAAGAGTGGTGGAGAGAGGGAAAGAAGAAGGAGTGGTGGTTGGAGGCGGAGAAGGTAGAATGGGTTGTTGTGCTTAAGATTGAGGAGATTGATCGTTCGAAGAGGTTCATGCCAAGTCGGCAGGATGACTCTATAGAGGGGAGAACGAGTGTTAGCCAGGAGGTACGAAGCAGCGTGGGACAAGGAGAGAAGAATAGCAGTCAAGAGAACAAGGTTGTGACTCTGGGTAGTAACGTAAATGAAAAGAAAGATACGAAGGAAGAAGAGACAATGGAAAGCGAGGAAGCAGAGAGGAGAATGAGAATTTTGGTAAAAAGGTTGTTTGTTGAGGAGAATGGCGATGAGAAGGTAGAGGATTAGATAAGAAAACTGAGGAGTACCCGGACTGCTCTCTCTATTCCACAATGGATGCTGATGCGATCTACAAGGCTGGCCTTGGGGAATAGTCACATTGGGCTCTAGGGAGGTATTGAGGATGAAGTGGAACGATCTCTTCTTTATCTTAACAACATAATACTAAGCGATGATTCTCTAAATGTCTTCCAGTGTGAGATATTCTCCGTTGAGTTTGTTGGATAGCTTGTACTCAGGATGAATGATGAGAGGTTTGTGAATGTAGAAGTCGTTTTGAAAATTAATAATGGTATCATGTTGGATGTTGAACCTGCCAAGTGGCCTTGTTACCTTTCAAAATTGATAAAATATCTTCGAAGATTCAAAGTCTAATGACCTTCAGATCGATGATAGTTTTCGGATTATCAGATTGTTTTCACAGGTAATGAATGTGTTAATCCCAAACTGGGATACACAGGAATGAGAAATCAATAGTCTATTCAAAAAACGACTATACAGTACAATCTCGCATCAAAATAATGATACTTTTCTCCTCCTCTTGATCGCAACACGGATATCCAAGAGCAAAAGCCACACATCCACACATCCAACATAACTCAAGCCGCCCGAATTACATCTCTCTTCGATAGCCAACCTCTACTCTTCAATCTGAACTCCCCATACCAAAATTTCCACCCACCCCACCTCTACGCCAACCCCTCCCTACTCTCGAAACTATTCGTCACCACAATCCCCTTCTTCCCCCTCAACCCCCCCTCCTCCAACTCTCTCTCCCGCTCATACCTCGCCGGCCCCTCCGCATGTGCAATAATATTCTGCGTCTCGCTTCCATGGGCCGTCGTCCACGGCTCCATCTTCGTATCCATATTACCGTATAGATTCCGCTGCGAATCGTGTGCGTCGCACTGGCTGGGATGTTGCGAGCTGGAGCGCATGGAACGCAGAGAGATGGCGGATTGCACGGAGGCGACGAGGGATTGCACGCCAGGCGTGTTGAGGAGTCCGTATTGTGCGGGGAGACAGGCGGCGATGATGCCGAGGCTGGATTCGATGAGGGACCAGTAGAGCCCGGACGTGCAGATGACTGGGGGGAGGGAGTTAGTTGGGGGTTTGGGTATGGGGAGAAATGGGGGGAGGGAGGAAAGAGAATAATTTACATTCGAAATCTGCGTGAGGGTCGTAGTTCACAGCGGTGGCTTGGATGAATACTATCATTCGCACGATTGATGCTGCAATTGTGCTTTGGGGTTTGGATATCAGTTTAATTTGCTCATATGGGAAGAGCGTGCTAATGCGGGTAGAGGTTCGACTTACAGCGCTCCCAAGGAGAAGATGGCTAGAATACCTATTTTTCGAGCAACAGTAAGATGTAGTCCGAAGATCTGTATAGATAGTTAATAAGTTGAGATTGGATCAGCATTTAGAAGAAATGAAAAAAAAAAGCCGAGTGAATTCGTTGAATGCGATGAGAATGCGCCAAACTGCTAATGAGGGTGGGTGTCGTTTTCAATTGACAAAATTCAATTGAACAAATTTACGATAATTAATTATCAGACGTGCAACAAAACCTCTGTTTGTCCGGAGGAATCGGCCGCTTTGAGAGAGGTTCAGAAATTTCCAGTGAAGAGTGAAAAGTGAGCAGTGAAGATAAATCCATGCTTCACTTTCCCACGTATCGCTTCTCATTCAGGAGAGACTCCTTCCCCTCTCCCTCTCCGCAAAAACGACCCCCAGAAGAAAAGGAGAGGCACACATACCATCGGAACCGGCAAACTAATAATGACAAAATCCGTCACCACATCACTAATCGCAAACGCATTGTGCAGTTTATCCGTATCGACACAATGGGCTTTCTCCACGATAGTACTTTTCCAGTAGGCGGAAAAATCCGTGCCGCAGATAAAGAGGATGGAGAAGAAGAAGGAGAGGGTCCAGATGATGATTATGAAGATCATAAACCAAGTGACGATGTTGAAGCGGGGAGCGGCATTGCGGGTGAAGACCCGGCGGTAGAAGAGGATGAGGGAGAGTTTGACGAAGCCGAGAGCGGGGATTTGGAGGAGCTCGCCGGGCCAGAAGGCCTAGGGGAGGGTGAGAACGGGAGTGTGGATGAGAGTATGTGGATAAGTGGGATTAGGGGATTGGAGATGGGGAAGGAAATCAAGGAATGAGTAGACGTACGACATTTGAATCCGGTTTCCCAATCTGAGTCGATGGTGCCGGTGCAGGATATCCAAGCTGTTTGAGTCCGACCTCTTTTCAACATAAACACAAATTAGTTCCTGTACCCTCGATCCCAATTCTCAATTTCTTAGTCCTCGATTCCTCTCCCCCCAAAATCAAATAGAAATCGAATTCTCACCAGCAATAATCGCAACCCCCATCCCAACTACAAAAACCTACACACACCACATCATCAGCCCCTTCCATTCCATCTCATCTCAACCCCCAATTCAAACATCTACACGTCCGCACAGGTAATACATACCAATGCCCCCATGATCAAATAATCATCCGCGCCCAACCCGACTTTCTTCAAATGACGAGCGTAGACTCGTAATGCGACTGTGGCGGTACAGATGGGGATGAGGACGGCGGGTGCGGCGATGGCGAGGTTGGCGTGGATTTGGAGGTCGGCCATTTTGGAGAGTTTGGGGGAGGGAGAAGGGGATGGGGTTGTGGACTTGATTTTTTGGTTGATGGGTAAGATGGGCGAGATGGGGGGGGAGGTTGAATGGAAATGAGGGGAGAGGGAGGGAGTATGTGAGTATGGATATTATTTGGATATGGATATAGAAACAGAAAAAGAAAACGAAGAGTCAATATCTCGTAATAACACAATATAAATATAAATATCCGAAGTACCAAGAATCAAGTACCAAGAAAAGAAAACAGGATACCATCCCTATCTATATAAACTCTCCAGAATTCAAAATCCAAAATCCAGTGACCACCCCATGGGGAAATAAATAAATAAATGGATAGATTCCCCAGGAGCACACTACACATTACACATTACATACACACCATATACCGTGTCAGTTTTCAAACTTCAAAGACTACACCTACCTAGGCCCGGTAACCTAAAATCGAATTTCCTCCCCTCTCCTAATCCTCTCCCCTAATCCTTATGAGGAATTGTAGAGGAATCGAGGTAACCTATATCGTATCACATCATATAGTCCAGCGTGTGGAGTTTGTACACCGCACCTTATTCCGCATTCCCCATTCGCTGTTCCCTCCCACCTTCCCTCCCTCACGAACGAACAAGCTTTTCTCGGTGTGAATACTACCCTACCCTATACTACCTACCCTATGTTATGCATACAACATTACATATTACATACATACCACATGCTACAAGCCCCAGCTTCAGAATCTCAAATCTCAAATCTCAAATCTCAAATCTCAAATCTCAAATCTCAAATCGAGCATCGAGAATCTCAATAATCCCTACAACAACGTTTTTACAATGCAGGCTACATCTCCATCTACAGCTGCAGCTACATCAATGAAAGCATGCAGTAGTAGTGATAAGTAAGGTTACTAGACTAGACGAGACGAGACGGGATAGTACATGTATTACTTTTCAGGTGCGTTGCGTGAATGGGTGGGTGGGTATGTATGTATGTTGAGGACTTACGAATGAGAGGGGAGGGGAGGGAGTATGTGTGGGACGGGAGGGGGGTACAGATGTAAAGATGGGTTGTTGTTGTGTTGGAGTACTAGGTACTAGGTACTAGGTACTAGGTATGCATGTATCTACTCACGATAATCCTGCGTTTGGTTTTTTGATTTTTGATACCAAGACGTAGTATTCTTTTACGAAATTGCTCTGGATATGATATGCACCAGCAAAGACAAATAGAATTCTATATTGCGATTGAGAAATACTTCACAACCTGGAGACTTCTCGAGATGAGAATTGTATTCCTTCACTAACGATATGAAAATGAATTCAAAGGAGAATGTTGATGAGAAGTGGAGCGCGCTGAAAAATTGGATGGATGGATGGATGTACATAGTACAATCGGCCGTACTACTTGTAATTCCGGAATCATCTTTTGTGATACGACACGATGCCCACTTGATGATATTGGGGTGGGCTGATTTCTATGCCTACGAGTGGTAAGGAGAGTCGTACAGAAAGGTTATTTTCGAGCTTTGAGAGGAGATGTATTGTTGTGATATTATACATTTCCATAAAAGATGTGAAGATTTCTTCGATTTGCTATAGAGGAAGACAATGAGTAGTTGGATATGGAAGCGGCAAGCGCAGTGGAAATTTTCTTTCTTCCGTCTTACAGTCTCGGGAGTATTGTATCACCAAGATTTCGGCGGTCAAGGGATCCCGTGATTGTATACCCGTTCACTAGGTATTGAAAGAAATTGATTTCTAAGGACCTAGCATCCTTACCGGACACGCCGTACATGTACTTTGCATCGCCATGCTCACCATGCAACTTCCATGCACGCAAGCTGCAGATAACGTTTTGCTGGCTTTAGCTGTGTACACCCTCGATTGTAATTTGAGTTCGATCTCAACATCGTACAAGCACGTATAGATCAGATCTATTTCCGGGTCTTCATGTTTCCCATAAGCATATATCAGAGGTATGGATCGAAGGATCTGAAACTGTGAGTTGGCACACCAAGCGGTTTGTGAAAGGCGTGGCAAATGAGTCGGTATCCGTCAAGGCGTTGACAGCGGAGTGAGATATATGCGGGTATCCATCAGGGTATCGAGAACACAGCTTTCAACGTAAGAAGTGTGAGAACATAGCTTTGTGTTTTGTTTTCTAGAGCCTAGCTCTGTGGTTTCTTCTCCGAATAAGGTTTGGTGGAAGATTCAAGTCCTGACTGTATGCAGGCACAAAGCGTGAAGAGGTCGACACTAGACTTTTTCGTTCAAACCGTTCTTTACTCAGAATCTTGTTACATTCGCGTATCGAGATGCTTCTATCAGGAGTCAAGCCTTGTTTTCACTCAATCTTCCTAGTCCTCCCGTCAAGCTTGAGGAAATAATCTTTGCGCACCACTTCAATGGAACCCCGTTTTGCCACATTGCTCCACGTTGTGAGATGTGATGGCCAGTTCAGACCAATTGCTTTTAGTAAAAGCCACATGGGATTCTAGAGATGGTTAAAACAAATCCCACGATCAAATATACACTGGCAAGCTTGTGCTCAGTATCAAGCGTAGTGGCGTTAATCAGGATCGTGCATATGGTAGCAACATCTCCAAATTATTCCCATGCGAGATAATCTCTGCCTAAGCAGCACTCCTCAAGATAATCGATCTTACACATAGGAAAATGAAACGACAATGGCCGTGGAGAAAATGTTGGTATACACAGTAATTTATGTGCCTAGCACACAGCCAATACTGATATGCCAGGTAAATTTACTCACCGCCCATGGAGAACCTCCTCCCCAAAAGTTCGAGTTTTGAGATGTGCGATCTGCAACGAATTTTCTTCATGCGATTATATCGGGACTTGTGGATTATCTCAGGAACATCGAGATTATGCCGCAACTTTTGGAATGATATTCAAATATTGAGGTTTGTACTCCAACAAAGTTGAGAGTGAGATGTAACCTACAATTCGTAATGCTTGGGTGTCGATTTGGAGATGGAAGATCAACGTGCATTAATTATCTCATTTGTCAAAATGTTCTCTCTCCTATAATGTTCTGTTAGAGAATGAAGAAGTCCAATTTGATGCAGACTTCTAAGTTCTAGCAGGTGCAAATTGTGAAGCTGTTCACAGCACTGATTGATAGAGGAGCAAGGCTTCTTCTATCGATAACGATGTTGACGTTAGTAATCAATCGAAATGATTCACATATCAATCAGATGAAATTCTGTAAAAATGGTGGGAATTCGCAAGTCCTTGGTTATTTTGAGCCACCGATGCGGCGGAAATGTCTCTCCACAGATACCAGATTGCTGATAAAGATAATCTCAATGGTGATCTTGGGGATCCATAAATGATTATGGATCATGTCAACTTCTTTCTTTTCCACTCCGCAGATCCGCTTGATGCACCAACAGAGGATTCTCCTTTTCAAACACCAACCCATATGGAAAAACTCAAAGACGGGGGAATGATGGGAGCTGGCCTGGCCCTTGCAATGGTGTAGCGTGTAGCGTGTAGCGTGTAAGATAGGTGAGGCTCGAGCTGCCAAATACGGTGTGACGATAGATTGTTTTTTCTTTCTTCTTTGTTTGTTTTGGAAGAATGGAAAGACACAGTGGATACGAAACTTGCCAGGGAAAGCTCACCGTGGTCCCGTAGGCAACGAAACATCTTGGCAATGTGGGAATCGAGTTTCTTCGGCTTCAGACAACCAGATTATGATACATTCGGGCGGCTGGCTACCACGTCCAAGCTTCAGTTGCGGTATGCATCAATGTTACCAAGACTCAGGCTGTGATTCTTGCCAACCGGCAGTCTTTTAAAGTTTGACTTGGCAATGAAGAATGCCAATGCCAACACCTGAAGAGTCAGTCATCCGGCGAAACAAACGCGCATGAACTACCAAGGACCCAGCTAGCTAGAGTAGTTCCGCGGGAAAAACGTGCAATAAATCCTCTTTATAAGGATATTCCATTGTAAAGTTTATCGTCGAGCAAGGGATAATCATATACGGAGCGTACAGCAACGTGAAATCCCACCCTCTTAAGCAAAAAAGGGAAAGCGTACCCATCAGTTTGATCGAATTTCCCTAGATGGATGACATTGACAGATGTCAGGGATATTTCTCAACTCACAATATTGGCGGATCCATTGCGGACTCAAAGGTTCTCCTATTTCCGAGAAACAAGGGTCGTTAACTCCAGCTTCGAGTCATTAATATGAATGTGGTGAACTATTCTGACTAATAGGACAGTCTCAACCGTCTCCCTAACAGTTATTGGCCAACGGCTAAACCCCAATTGGCTAGGTCGTATTCCACAACTGCCGCAAGTACAGGCAAAAGAAAGTACACGCCGCTTTAACAGGCACCGGAATCAAACTCTCAAAATACCCACCAGAACCTTCAACAATCTGTTCTGGAACAAGCAAGAGTTCCCCAACCGCTCCAAATCGAGATTAAAGTGGCGCCACCTTATCTTTCTTTCACAAACACCTGTGATCACCCAGTAAGCTAGCAATGATCTCTGCTTTTCAACTGCTCCATAGCTACTAAAACTTAAACTACCTAGTATCTACCCAGTCCCCCTAGGTGCTCGTGCAACATCACACTTACCGTCACTCTGACCATTACTCATATCGACTCACATCGACTCACATCTGCTCAGATCGATGCATACAAAGAAAGTCAGATGTGTATGCGTTCGAGCGTTCGAGCGTTCGAGCGTTGGAGCGTTGGAGGATTGCCAATACACCAAGGTACTAAGGCTCCAAGACACCAAACTGACTATTGGCCTTACATCAGTGGCGTGACAACATGGGGTGCAAAAAGTAAAATGCTTGTAAGCAGGTGAGAGCAAATTGACTCCGTCCCGCCGCCCGGGGCAATTTCCTACACAGTACTCCATACGTGCGTGCATATACGGTACCCCTCCATCAACTTACTTTATGTATCCACCAAGGGGGCAAGGCAAGATGAGATTGTAGAAGATCGACAAGGATTT